GCATAATCATCATCATCACCATCATTCAACGCCTGCTTCACAGTGCAGCAGAGTGCATCACACTTCAACCATGTGCTGTGAGTTAAATTGCAACAATAATGTATAGCCCTTTGTCAATCCCCTGCTGGAAGGTCTCCCCACTCTGTGTTGTTGGTCATGAGGGTTATTTGCCATATTTCACCATGCTGGTCAGTGCGGATTAATGAAGAGGGCGCCCAGGACGAGTTCAGACAGAATTTGCCACTGATGTTAACCATGGCCGAGAATCAAGCTCAGGTCTCTGGATTCATAGCACAATGCGCTACTAAGTGTGCAATTTTTGACCAAAAAAATATTATTTCTATTGAAATGTGCATTGGGTGGTGCTGTATGTTGGTGTTCTCATCCAGTGGTGGAATTGCACAGCCTAGACAAGTCCTCCTCCTAAACAACAATGGATTATGTCCCACAGAATGGTTCTTATTATATCAACTACAGAGGCAGGATGATGAAGGTATGAAGGGCTGAGTTAAACCTGGATTGAGATTTGAGCTCATAACCTTATGATTTTGAGTCAAGTGTGTTGTCACAACACCACCTGACCAGATACAGAAAGAAGATAAAAAGATAAAAAATATATTTCAATCAGAAATATTACCAAAAAAATCTGACATTTTTCTTCTTTTTTACTTTTGGGGCGACATTATACATATCACCTAATGGAACAAATTGCCACCATCTATTTTACTTAGTTACTCAACATCTATTGTTGCGTCTTAAAGCCCTAAAGCTCTCTTTTAATGGCCAAGACTGCTTAAGCAGCAAAAATGTGGCCAGCTCCCCTTAAAATTATTCGGAGTTTACGGCCCGTATAATTGTCCGACATCCGTAGCCAGCTTTCATTATGGATTTAATTGCCAGTAAGGAGCAGGCCACAGCAGTGTGGTTGCAGGAACTGCAGTGATGGCCCTTTGGAATTCTGAAATGTCTGTTAAAGATGTCACCAATAAAATGCCTGTGTAATTACAGCAGCCCAGAATAGTCATCGAAAATCGCATACGGTAATTTAACGGTCCAATTGATCACATCTTAAGCAACACATTCCTTTCATAATACCGTACATCTAATGGAATTTTCGTTTTTTTATATCGTCATTCAATACTTCTGCAATCACAAAATGAGTCTCTTTTGTACGTTTTAATTCCACAAAATTACACTATGAAATGCTGTCCACGCCATTGTAAGGATACAAACCAAATGTTACAAGCAAAAGCCAAAAATACTGTCACAGCTTCCATACGTTTCTGAACAAGGTGCAAGAGTATATACGTGCACTGCTATCATTCAATAAATACCCGGTGGTGCCCCTTTATCCACTCTCCTGCTCTCTTTGCATTGATGCATTTGAGACGTTTCACAGAAATGACGGATCTCTCGCCTCCTCTGCACTGAGATCTGGATTCAATTTGTAAAGCCTTGCACGGCCGAACTTGCTACACCCACCTCGTGAATTCACACAATTGAAGAGATTGCAAGGACCTCCCCTCCCTTTAGCTGCAAAGTAATCCACTTTCATCTTCCATATGCTGCTTTTACAAGTAATGCTTCACGTACGAGTAATGCTGTATCACTGCAGCCTATGAAGTTAGTCACTGGGCTGCTATTTAAAACACAATGCAGGCTTGTCTTTACGAAATCTAAATTCTGTACCTACCTACAATGACAGTTTACATTTTAAGATCCGATGCATTTGTGTAAAGTGCATGGTTGAATCTCCAAGCATTGCCTACTGCCATTAAGAGACACATTATATTGGACAAGGATGGGTATTTTATGAGAACATTGCTTTTCTGATGTACTTTGTTAAAAAAAAATGCTAAATGTTATATGTGTAGACACATTTGGCCCGATTCCTATACAGTGTTTAAATGCTTTTGCAGAATTCAGGCATTCGCTGAAAATTCCACAAAAAATAATTTCACCTAATTCATTAAGTATTTTTGGCCGGATTTTGCCATGTGGAATGAAGCCCAATTCCACAAAAAACCCCACAGTCAATCAACAGCCAAGGGCTACGTGTGCTATGTCAGAATACTCACCCTGTCGATGAGCCAAGCCTACCAATCAGGCCCCGTTTTCGTCACACACAAACACACCCGGGCTAATGTGTGTACAAGAGTTACTCCACCCTTCACCAAGGTTCAAAATCAGTGACTTATAAACAACAATAATTAAAATGAAGATGATGCAAAACAAGGTTGAACGTGAAGATGCTATCGATGCTGCGATAATGATATTCAGGATTATTAAAATTGATGATGAAAACAATCAAAATAATCGTGAAAATTACAAAGGCAAATTAGGATTATGATAGATTGGAGGTAATGATCAATTAAGATGACGAATTTTGATGACCAATGAAGACAATGACGGTAATACTGCCGTTTCAAATGATGATAATCCACCAACCCATAATCTACCATCCTACACCAATCTCTATCCTGTGGTGATCCACCATCTGTTCCCTCCAAAAAGAATGCACACCACACCAGGCACCCATTTAAAGTTGAGCCGCCTTTGGGTGATTTTTTTCTTTTCTGAAGATCAAATGCATTGACCACAGGGGTAACATCTGTAAAGACAGCAACCCTGGATAACAACAACACCAAAGACTGCTATCACATTATTGCAATACAACAATCCATCTAGTTACGGCACACGAGCTGATTTCTTTACTCCATCTCAACGGTCAACACCCTCTTGGATGTGTTCCCTCCTTTGGCTACAACTCTGTTGTTCGTCTCCACCATTTGCCATCCATTCTAGAAATGTGACCTGCTCAAGTCTACTTGTTGTCAAAATGACGATCCGAACTTGCGTTCTCTGATCCACGTGCTCCTCTCTCTGTCCCTCAATGCAATTCAAAGCAAGCGTCGCTCCATAACCAGGTAGTGTGCACTTATTCAGCACGTTCTTCTTTTGACACATGGGTAGGATATTCTTCATTCTCAAGGTCAGTTTTAAAAACAACGCCACATCCTAATCTCTTGATTTTATATTGAAGTATACGCATGCTGTAGTTTTTTCAAGTTATCTTTCTTCAATTGTTCCCCAACAGTTCAGCTAAAAAAAACGAATTTGTTTAGCTAAAGATACCTTCAATTGTTCAGCTAACTTTGAGAACGTCACTTTTGTTTAGCTCATGCTTATCTTGATCCCTCACTATGCATCCTTCTTTATGTAGCAATTCCTTGTGAAGTAGTGCATTCCCATTAGCTGGGTTGTTGATCCCTATGCACAACGAACAAGATAAAAAATTACCTCAAAACATTCGTCAATAACACTGCTTATTGTGCGAGCACATGACGCGCTATGAAGGGCCATTACCTGAAACGTCACCTATTGTTTTTCATGTTTAGGCCAGTGTTCTTGAAGATCGTATTGAGGAGTTGCACCAGCAGCATCATCACTGTCAAATTATTGGTCATCAGCATTCGTCACCTTCATTTATCATCATCATCTTAATTTTCCAGTCATTGTCAGTAATCATCAGCGTAACTCATTATCGTCATCATCCTGATTATTATTATCATAACAGCATCATTGCCATCTTCTTCACGCGGCTCCTCCACCCCACTGCGCTCCTGTTGATAAAGATTAGTGCTGGATACAACCACATTTGCCAATGTAATTTGTAACTTTGATCCTGTATCGATAGTTACATTTTAATGTCCAATTTTATTGAGGGACTGTGTGTGTTGTCTTGGTGCGATCTGGGACTCTGTTGGTGTTTCGTTGCCTTGCCCAAGCTTGCGTTTGCTGTTCAAAACTTGGCAGGAATTGTACTTACTGAGATATTTTATTAAATGTATTTATCCATCTTGATTTGAAGCTTTCGTGACTGCAGGAATCCATACTCTTTGGTTCTTTCAGTAAAGTCACGTAGGTAGAAAAATAATAGATCACGACGTTTCGATCGCAACACAAGCAATCGTCATCAGGTGGGACAACCAAATCAATATTATTTAGTTATTTATCTATTTTAGTGCCTTGCTTAGCTTCCCTATATTTTGCACTCCTACTGGTCTTTGTTTAAGTCTGTTGTTGTAACATTCTGACCCGCCACGCAGAACTGGACATCTGTAAAAGCGATTCACGGCTAATTGGATTCTTTCAGTCTAAATACAAAATCTGATCAACATTATGCTCTTTGGTTCTTTCGGTAAAGTCACGTAGTTAGAAATAAAATAGAATAAAAGTACAAACAAATCACGACGTTTCGATTGCAACACAAGCAATCATCATCAGGTGGGAAAACCACAGCAATAATAATTTTTTTTGCTGAAGTGGGAGAGACATTATGCTACTCGCCACTAAGTGGCGGTGACGTCCCCACGGCGCTTGTGCCAGGCTAGGTGCACGTTAATGCCACGTCAAGTGTCGAACGCCCGCTGGCAGGAGGTCACAGGACAGACCCAGCAGGTGCCACGGGTCGACTGACTGAGACGACTGCTGGCTGATGCACCACCTGTGCCCCCTGCTGTGCCAACTCGCTCTATTTTAACTACCCGGCGCTCCACTCGTTGTTGTGAGCGTCGCTCCTCTGCCCTCCGTTGTTGCTGGAGGGCGACTGCCTCCAACTGCCCAGTAGCATCAGGGTGCACCTAGCCTGGCACTGCCCAGTAGCAGCAGCAGCAGCAGCGTCCTTCACGACCCTCCTCCACAGAGGCCGTTCTTGATGACACCGCCGGTAGCCCTCCCTGACCCCCCCGACCCCCCACCCCTCCCTGACCCCCCCACTCCTCCCTGACCCCCTCCCCCCCACCCCTCCCTGACCCCCCCACCCCTCCCTGACCCCCTCCCCCCCACCCCTCCCTGACCCCCCCACCCCTCCCTGACCCCCTCCCCCCCACCCCTCCCTGACCCCCCCACCCCTCCCTGACCCCCCTCCCCCCCACCCCCGGTGTTGTGCCCCCCCCTCCGTCGCCACGGCAACGAACCGCACGTGCGGGCGACGCCGCCGCCGCGCGACGACGATGACGTCACCGCCCGCGGTCGCCATGGAGACCCCGCGCGCGCGTCCACACACAACGACGCGGCCATGGCGGCGCCGGGCGCGATGGACGCGACCCTGGTGGCCCTCCACAGCCGGCACCGGTACGTGGCCTCCCGCTCCCTCACCACACGCGTGCCCGCCGGTTCGTGGCCTCCCGCTCCCTCACCACACGCGTGCCCGCCGGTACGTGGCCTGCCGCTCCCTCACCACACGCGTGCCCGCCGGTACGTGGCCTGCCGCTCCCGCACCACACGCGTGCCCGCCGGTTCGTGGCCTCCCACTCCCGCACCACACGCGTGCGCGCCGGTTCGTGGCCTGCCGCTCCCTCACCACACGCGTGCGCGCCGGTTCGTGGCCTCCCGCTGTCAACATTCCCTCGCCGTTGTGAGGAGTCACGATGCGGGTGGACGGGTTCGCGGCCGCACGGCTCGCCGTCACCTGGCTTGCGGTAGTAGTACCACCTCCACTTGACCCTGCCGGTAGTACCACCTCCTTCACCACTTGACCCTGCCGGTAGTAGTACCACCACCTCCACTTGACCCTGCCGGTAGTAGTACCACCTCCACCACCACTTGACCCTGCCGGTAGTAGTACCACCACCACCAATTGACCCTGCCGGTAGTAGTACCACCACCACCACTTGACCCTGCCGGTAGTAGTACCACCACCACCACTTGACCCTGCCGGTAGTAGTACCACCACCACCACTTGACCCTGCCGGTAGTAGTACCACCACCACCACTTGACCCTGCCGGTAGTAGTACCACCACCACCACTTGACCCTGCCGGTAGTAGTACCACCACCACCACTTGACCCTGCCGGTAGTAGTACCACCACCACCACTTGACCCTGCCGGTAGTACCACCACCTCCACTTGACCCTGCCGGTAGAAGTACCACCACCACCTCCACTTGACCCTGCCGGTAGTAGTACCACCACCACCACTTGACCCTGCCGGTAGTAGTACCACCACCACCACTTGACCCTGCCGGTAGTAGTACCACCACCACCTCCATTTGACCCTGCCGGTAGTAGTACCACCACCACCACTTGACCCTGTCGGGACTGTGGGGGGGGGGGGGGGTGGGGGGCCGTGCCGATGTGCGGGGCTGTTTCTGTCGTTTATTGTGAAAACTCGGTCACAGTTTCTATGATCGCTCTTTCATTGCTTTTATGACTTTATTTTGGTGATTTCGAAAAGTTTTTTGGTTTGGCCATGTTTGTTTGTTGTAGTAGGGAGTTAGACTGATGGCCTTAATCTAAGTTGTCTTGTGGTTGTGGTTGTTGTTTGACTTGCATCCCACTGGGATTTTTGCACACAGCGTTGGTGTACGGTGCTTTTTCTGCAATATTTTGCTGTCTTTTCTTGGATTTTCTGTTTGCACTTAGTCACATAGTCACTTTAAGATGTTTTCTTGATTCAAGAGCCGAATGGCTCACAGGGCTATACCAAATAAATGAAACTGAAAACTGAAACTATCTCTGCAGGGTGGCAGAGGAGCAGCGCGACCTGGAGCACAGGGCGGCCGTGAGGCTCCAAGCCCATCTCCGAGGGTGCAGGGTGCGGGCCTACCTGCGGTGAGCCGTGACATACAACAACAACAACAACCGCCGTTCCTCACAGCGCTTGTGCCAGGCTAGGTGCACTTTAAGGCCACGTGAAGTGTCGATCGCCCGCTGGCAGGAGGGTCACGGGACAGACCCAGGTGCCACGGGTTGACTGACACTACCACCGTCATGACAAACATGAATACCGCCAGTTACAGTCAGCGCTGTGACACACACACATAACAATAAACATCGTGACGCACATATAGTCTGTCGTTAGAGGTCACCTATGAAGGCCAGCACGACACACGAGAGGGTGGATGGCCACCACCACATCCGCCTTAAAGACAAATACAGCCACCACCAGCGTGACACACACATGCCCCTCGCCCCGTCACACACATACCAACCACCACCGGCGTTGTGCTATCATCTACAATTAGCTCCATGCCATTAACTCGTACTTCCAGTGAGTTCCATAACTCAACAGGGCTCCAGGCCATCACATCTTAACAACTCCAGATGATCGTCTGGCGCTAGCTCTTTACTTGGGCCATCGTCATGCCATCATCAACTGCCTACCTTCATTCAACTTCATATCACCTCATACAGCTATCTCCATGTCACTACCACTCCCAACTTGACACAGCGCCATGGCACCACCATGTCTCCTTTTCTGTACTCTCACACAGCCTCATACCACCATCTGCAGTCATTTATTATTTTCTCAGTATAGGTGAACCCATACTGTATTTGGAATTGCATTGTTTTCACTCTTTGGTCAGTGTAATATCCATAATGAAGACAATGTGTTGTAACCCAACGTTGTTTTGCTTATAATTTGCTTTGAGTTGTGCAGCTACTTACGTGAAAATGCAACAGTTATCCAGAGGCATTGGAGAGGGTACGCGGACCGGAAGGTGTTTCGAGCCATCGTTAAGGTACACGTTCACCCAGAGCACAAGGCCTTCATTAACCCTGTAAGAGGTTTCAGGTATTCAGTGGCAAAAGCCATGATCATGTGGCATCATTTCCACTTACAAATATCAAGCAAAGTCATGTCTGTGTAATGTATAACAAACACATTTTAGTACTGTAGAACTATCCAGCTGCTTTCATGTAAGTCTGAGAACAGTCATATGATGTACTTTGAGGTAGAGTGTACAGTCAACAGCAATCCCCCGCTATAAGTTTTTGCATTATGCGTTGTTTCGCATATATGTTGCTGATTAATTCCGCACAAAATGTCTTTACAAGTATAACGTTTCGCATATGCGTTCAATTAAAAAAATTGCACAAACATGTTTCGCACAATTTTTTTACTAGAAATGCACGCGGTGAAAACGGACTATTTAGCGATGTAACATCATACTGTGCGCGCTTCGTAGCGCGTACCACTGTGGTGGGCAATCCCCATCATGAGTCTGAGGTGGTGGAGTTCTTTGAGTCCCATGGTGAGGACCCGTTTAATGAGGATCTTATGCATTTGAAACAAAACATGCTCAGGAAGAAGCCGGTGAAACGATAACCACTACTACGAATATTAACTGGTGTTCATTGGCATTCACTGCTACAAGGAGCTTTAACAGCAGACAAAGAAAAATGCTGTCCAGCTGTCTTTGGACAGATCTTTTCTGGCAATAAAACAGATGTTAAGATGTTCTAACACTAAATAGAAACCTTTTGCAGCTCGCCTTTTGGCGTTCACTGGTCTGACACTGGTGAGATTAGGCCCTAAATAAGGTGTAGGTCAATCAGGTTAAAAGACAATGCATATATTATCAGAGCATGTTTTGACTTAAAGCTTTCGTGACTGCAGGAATTCCTATTCTTTGGGTCTTTCGGTAAAGCCACGTGGATAGAAAAATAATAAAAAATAATGAAAATAATAACAATATCACGACGTTTCGATCGCAACACAAGCAATCATCAGCAGGTGAAAAATATAGCGGGAGAGCTTCTGAGGCAGGAAAAATATATGGTGGGAGCGCTGCTAATGCAGGGAGTGATAAAGGTTTGAGATGGATGTAGCCCAACGGTCAGTGGGCGGGGCTAGAGATGAAATTTGCATGTAAATGTAAGATCGGAGAAATCTTGACAGACGAAGCTGTGGAGGTGGCCATTGTAATGTAAGAAATTTGCTTGTAAATATAAGCTCGGAGAGAGCTCAGAAAGAGTCATCGCCACATGGAGGTGGAAAAAGATGACAAAGATTACTAACAGCTAACGGTGGTTGTGTTCGTGAATGTAACTCAGAGTCGAAAATAACTGCTAACATAGGTCTGTGTTTATATATCTGGATGGCTTCATGAACGAATCTTTGCTGAAAGCCAGTGGGTTTGCAGAGTACCTTTATCTTGGAAAAATCTATTTCGTGTGTGCCCACAGCATTAAAATAATGATCAGCCACGGCTGATGTATTGGTCCGACCGTGTTTCAGATCTGCCTTATGTTCACGAACCCGGTCCGAGACATGTCGCTTAGTTTCCCCAATTAAACTGTTGCCGCAGACACAGCTTAGTTTGTAGACACCAGGGTGTTGCATGTCAGGGATCACATCCTTCACAGATGGGATCAAATCACGAATTTTATGTACTGTGTTGAATCGTACCTGGATCTTGTGTTTGCTCATGAATTTGGAAATCTTTTTGGTGACCCCTGCTATGTATAGCAAGGTGATGGGTTTGATTGGGTCCTCAGATGGTTCTTTCCCAACGGTTGGGGCGATAGCTTTACGGATTATGTAGTATGAATATCCATTCTTCTTGAGGGCTTGGTGTACGTGTTCCAGTTCACTGGCTAGGTCGTGATGGTTGGAAATAAAACGAGCTCTATGGTAAAGATTTTTGATGAAGGAATTCTTCTGGGATGGATGGTGGTTGGAGTCAGGTTTTAGGTAGGCATCCGTATGGTTGGCTTTCCTGTAGACAGTGTCCCATTGAGCCATCAGGTCTATTTTCGATTAAAACATCCAAGAATGGTAATTTGCCATCCTTTCCCACCTCCATGGTGAATTTGATGGCTGGGTGTATGGAATTGATGTGGTTGAAGAATTGGTCCAGAGCTGGTAGGCCATGTGGCCAGATGACGAAAGTATCATCTACGTATCTCTTCCACAAGGAAGGACGTCGGGTGGATGCCTGGATGGCATCTGTCTCAAATTTCTCCATGAAAACATTGGCAAGAAATTTGAGACAGATGCCATCCAGGCATCCACCCTACGTCCTTACATTGACATGCTAATCTCTCACAATACAATGGCCACCCCCACAGCTTATATTGTCAAGATGTCTCCGACCTAAAGAATACAGAGCATGTTTGTTTGCATGTTCACTACAAGTTTGTGTGGTTAATGCAGACATCATTCCTTGAAAAAGGTTTCTATTTTGACTTAAAACTTTCGTGACTGCAGGAATTCATATTTTATGGTTCTTTTGGTAAAATCACGTAGATAGAAAAAATAAAAAATAAAAATATAAAAATGTGAATAAAAAATAATAAAAATATCACGACGTTTCAAATGCAAAACAAGCGGTCATTAGGAACAGGGAGGTTAGTCTCTGAGGGCAAGCTGTTTATAAAGGTTTAGAGATGGGTGGGGCAGCTAATGTTAATCTAGGAGAGGTCTCCGACACCGGCAATAGTTCTACACCAATCAAAGAGCTGTTTATAAAGGTTTAGAGATGGACGGGGCAGCTAATGTTAATGTAGACAGTCAGATGTCTTTAATTGACGATACCAGGTGAGCTGAGTTAAGAACAGAAGAGGTGGTCTTACCAGTGAATGGCTGCAACGTCTCAGACAGAAATCAGGCCAGTTTGTAGGTGGTTGAGCCAATGGTGGAGACGATGGGACGAAGGGGTATATCTTCTTTATGGATTTTTGGTACGCCATATAGTCTGGGTGGTCTAGCTGCAGAAGGTTTTAAGGAAAACAGTTTGGTCTGTTCAATTAATGAAGCTGAATAAGTGATGGTACTGTTCGTTTAGTAGGTCCTGAATTTTGTTATTGTACACGTTATTGTCCATGATGACCGCGGCATTGCCCTTGTCGGCTGAGAGGATGACAATATCTTCCCTCTTTTAATAATTGAAATAACTCAAAGCGCTCCTCCTTACTGATGTTGCTGACTGGTATCTAAGTGCTTTTGAGGGTTGCAGCGATTTCAAATCTTGTCATGTCTGCAGCGATGTGTCCCAAATCCTTAAGAGGTACATCGACCTGGGCAATGATGTCATCCACTGGTATGTTTGGGGGTGACTGCAAAGTTTAACTCTTTAGCTAAACCCGACTTTAGACCATCGGAAATAGGGCTATTACTCAGATTAATAACAACCTTGTCAACGTCTAACTTTTTAATGTGTGGATCTGGTTTCTTCTTGGAAAGGAGGTTGAACTTGGAAATCAGGTTATCTTTACATTTATCTGACATTGTAGCGGCTGATGAAGCAGTCATGTTATCTACATGTTCCCAATCAGATATAGACATTTTTCCCGTCAATGTTAAGTGTGATTTCAAAAGTGTCTTGTCTATATGATCTAGTTCAGTACGGATCAGTCTAATTCTCTCTTGCTGAAAAATGAAGTCATCGAAATCTTTATGAAGTTGTGGAAAGAGCGATTTTCTCTGTTCAACAAAGTTACTGTGCCTGATACCATTGCAATAATTGAATATTTGGTCCAACAAGATCCAGGTCCGATTTAACACAGTGCATACAATTCGTGACCTGATCCCATCTGTGAAGGCCAAGATTCCTGACATTCTACAAACTAAGCTGTATCTGCGGCAGCAGTTACATTGGAGTAACCAAACGACATGTCTCGGACCGTGTTCGTGAATATAAGGCAGATCTGAAACACGGCAGGACCAATACTTCTGCCATGGCTGATCATTACTTTAATGCAGCTGGCTCACGTGAAATTAATTTCTCTAAGACGATGGTACTTTGCAAGCCGACTGGCTATCAACAAAGATTCGTTCACGAAGCCATCCATTTTTACAGACACAGACACAATTTCAACCGAGACGACAGTTTTAAACTCAGCAGTCATCAACCACTTTGGGTCATGACTTGATTTTTGTTTTCTTGTCCACCTCCACCGTCAGCAGTGTGAGTGTGTGGAGCGAGGTGCAATGCTTTGATTGGTGTAGACCTACTGCCGGTGTCGGAGACCTCTCCTACATTAACATTAGCTGCCCCGCCCATCTCTAAACCTTTATAAACAGCTTGTCCTCAGAGGCTAACCTCCCTGTTCCTGATGACGACCGCTTGTGTTGCGATCGAAACGTGATATTTTTTTAATCCTCTTTATTTTCATATTTATTGTTTTATTCTTATTATTTTTTCTATCTATGTGGCTTCACTGAAAAAACCATCTAGGATTCTATTTGGCGTTTGAACATCTTAATACCTGTCTTATTGCCATAAAGGGTAATTCTATTCTTATTTTTTCATACTTTGATACTGGAAAAAGGGTCCAATTTCGTTGCCAATATGTTTGTAATCCTTTTTCTGAACAAGTGTGGATGCAGATAAACGTTCTTAAAACAGAAGCCTCCCTTGGATGTCACCCATAATAGCAAGTACAATACATACAGGCATACGTAATTATTAAAGTAAAATATTTTTGTATGCTTTATGTGACCCCTGCCCACTGTGCCTCGATCTATCCTGGCTGCGATCGTTATCGAGAACATAGGGCGGTCATCAATAAATGATGAAATAAAAGTTTTGGTAGCGCTCTACGTTGCTTTCCCTAATTCCCCGTCAACTGTGACACGACTCGCTCTCACTCCCAACACCGTCCACGTGCACCCAAGGACTTTCTGAGAGGTTTATGAGGGTCCAAAATGGCATCTATTTGTCCGGCGCACCGTACACAGGCACGCCAACGGACCTGTAATATCAACGCGCTGGCGTCACAATTGGCCCCTCGATACAGATCTCTCTCTCTTCAAAATTCTTCGGGAATACATCTCATACCTCGTCCAGTGGTCACGTGCCTGACTTCTGAGAGGGTGATGAAGGCCGTGGCCTAACCTACCACCCATTCAACCTAAGACAACCATGACCCATCAACATCCTCAAAGTTTAACAACGACTAATTATATTGTAGTGCGAATATAGGCACCATTTACTAGAAACACAAACATACTGGTTACATTTATTTAGTAGTGAAAATGTACGACTTCCTGCTGGGTTTAGTCTTTACAGTATATATGAATATTATAAATGTATGCGTCATCAATATGACTAGCAGAAATAAGTGTAGCATGTCAGTTAGTAATATACAATTTAAAGGTTGAGCTATGATGTACGGCCATTCCCTAAAATGTCACGTATTCATATTTTTTCTCCTTTTATCTCAATATTGACAAATGTGTTTACATTTTTTGTCATTGGCACTTGTTCATTTTGGGCAGTGTAGTATCACCTCATTATTTGATACATTTAAAAGAAGAGTGGTCACCTCAGTCTTTTTGTAAAATAATTTCATGAGTAATCACGGTCAATGAGAGTTTTTGAGAACTACTTTTACTGGAATTATTCTTGCAGGAAGCTGTTCTCAAGATGAAGTTGGCTTTTTTTAATGCGATGGCTGTAAAGGTAAGGCTGCAGTAACAATTGTATCCAATTGACTTTTACGTATTTTGTACTTCCATGCACCACTTGAAATTGTTATATATATGCTAAAATAACTAAATGCTATACTTATTTTGACAGATCCAGAAAATATGGCGTGGCTACTACGTTCGGAAATATGTGCACAATTACTATGCTCTGAGGAACTATCTTGATGGGCTTGCTATAAAGCATGAGATCATCAGGTGGGTGAATCACTTATTTATCTGTTGTAGAACACACCTGCATTGTCATGTAATAACATAGTATCAGATTATAAAGTGGCCTGCTGCAGGGCAGGGTTTTGAGGGGGCTGGTTTTCAAAAGTGTAGGATGCCCAGGTGACTGTAACCACACTAAATGGATTCCCCCTTTGGATGAAGCACCGGGCCAAAACTGCCACAATTTTTAGTCCTGCTGTAAAAGCGGCAGATATATTTTGCTATCTCAACTATGCAGTGTGTGATTAGAAACTCAATTTTCTTTGGGCTGAGTCATGATATTAATAAAAAGCTCATTTATTCTGAGATTCTGAAACCTCCCATTTGTTATCTTTGTCCCAACAACATGGCAAATTGAAAATACCGCGACTATTCTCTTCACCGATCGATTTGCAGATAAGCGAAATGTGCTGGCCTGATTGCTAAACAGCTCTGACGCAATTTATTGTGTCTGCCTGTGTTTTATTGTGCCCACCGCAGTAATTGCCCATTTTGCAGCGGTTGGAGCCAATCATTTTTCACCTACCTTCTCTGATGGCTATCTGGGTGGATTCGTGTTACCACTCTGGCCTGCGATTGTGGAACACATTTCCCTGGACCGAGTGGCAGAACATCATTCATCAGTTCCACATTCTCCCAAATAGAGCTTGCTCAATGGGATGCTTTTTTTATCATCATACAACCCCTCATACTTTGTCAGAATTTACATATACATGGACTTGCATTATAATTTGCTTTAAATATACTCCGTTTTAAATTCATGATACTTAACTTAAATATCAACCAATTGGAAATAGGGATTTTACTGTTTACATTTGAAAGATTAAATGTAATCCGGAAATATATCTGTAAATGTGATAGCACATATTATATACAGGGAATTATCATTTACAATATTATATATGCACAGGTATTTGAGTTTCAACAGTAGAGATGTGTTCTCTTTGGAAACATTCAGACATCACTGTGGAACTAAAAAGGCTTGTAGATCGTACACCTACTGGACATTAAAAACTTGATAATAAGCTCTGCCGTGGGGAAATCATGCGGGAATACGTGACAAATTATCCTTCAGTTTCTCTGCCCATTCCAATTTCTGTCGAGGGCGTTTTGTTATCTGAAATTCTATGTATACCAGTTGGTGAATATACCAAGAGTGGTAAGGAGTCTTGGGCAAGATACCAAGGGAATATTCGAGTGACCACGCTATAATGGGGGTCTGTGTTCAGACAAGGACTTAAATATGCAACCCATTCAGAGGCCTTGACATGTAAATAAAGGGCACGGGTGCTACATCTATTTTGTATTCATTATAAAATGAGGATAGTTTAAGAAAGTATCGGTGGTTTTAAGCAAGGGAGGGCAAGTCACCACTTCTCGTGCAATCCCTGGGGATTGCACCCAAGGGCCATGGCAATTTATTGGATGTTCTGTATCTCGTGGCAGGTGATTGATGGGGACAAATAAGTTACTGCTTTGATTTAGCTGGGTTGTCAAACCACTGACATTGTGTAGTGCTTTAACTCCATTCACACTTTTTATTAAATGACTTCTGTGGCAAAGGAGCTCCCAGTGGTGGGGAAATATATATGTGTTGTTTTATCAAAATATTTATGAAAGCCCTCACAGTTAAAGTCATTTGTAGGAATAATGTTCATAAAACCGTCAGACTATTTTTGAGAAATTTCAAATGGAAATTAATCTTGGGAAAAAATATCCTTTTTAAAAACAATGACAACGGATAATACTGCACTGTAACATGTTATTGTGACGGTTTTTGTTTTCTATAAATCATGGGAATTTTTTTTTTAATGTTCATAGAGTATTTATCAACATTAAGTGAAAATAGTTACAAACTACAATTGATGTTTTTTAATTGCACAACGGTGTATTAGGTGACAGTGATGCATTTAAATTGCCTATGGCGACTGTATTGCCCAATCGAACTGTTTATGGTGTCTCACTTACAACAAAATACCCTATATGGTTGTTTCAATCCATTTAAGTAGCTATTTGTGTATGTGTCCCACAGTACAAAAAAAAAGAATAGTTATGTCTAAACAGCGCGCACCATATTGGTCGTGGGGATTGTTTGACAGTGTACTTAGACATACTGATCAGTGTGGATTGGTGAGGTGGGGGCCTGGACCAGCTAAGATATCCATACCACTGATAGTAGCCATAGCTGGAAACAAACTCAGGTCGCCAAGTTCACAGTGCCGTGTACTAACCACTGCAACACCTTTACATGTTAATGAGTGAATAAATAACACCTTTATCAATTTCTACATGAATAAAGGTGAACATAACATAGATTATATAAATCTTGTCTTAAAGCTTTTGTGACTGCAGGAATTCATATTCTTGGGTCTTTTGGTACAGTCACGTAGATAGGTTCAAAGAAAATAACAAAAAATAACAAAAAAATAACAAAAAATAACAAAAAAATAACAAAAAATAACAAAAAAATAACAAAAAATAACAAAAAATAACAAAAAAATAACAAAAAATAACCAAAAAATAACAAAAAAATAACAAAAAATAACAAAAAAATAACAAAAAAATAACAAAAAATAACAAAAAATAACAAAAAAATAACAAAAAATAACAAAAAATAACAAAAAAATAACAAACAAATAACAAAAAAATAACAAAAAATAACAAAAAATAACAAAAAATAACAAAAAATAACAAAAAAATAACAAAAAATAACAAAAAAATAACAAAAAATAACAAAGAAAATAACAAAAAATAACAAAAAAATAACAAAAATAACAAAAAATAACAAAAAAATAACAAAAAAATAACAAAAAATAACAAAGAAAATAACAAAAAATAACAAAAAAATAACAAAGAAAATAACAAAGAAAATAACAAAAAAATAACAAAAAATAACAAAAAAATAACAAAGAAAATAACAAAAAATAACAAAAAAATAACAAAGAAAATAACAAAAAACGCAAGCGGTCATCTTCCACAAGCGGTCGTCTTTCTGAAGACTTTCTGAAGACGACCGCTTGTATTGCGAACGAAACGTCGTAGTTTTTTGTTATTCTTTTGTTATTTACTTTGAACCTATCTACGTGACTTTACTGAAAGACCCACGAATATAGATTAATGAAATGTAGTGGATTCTTTTTTCAAAGCTAAACAGTGCCACGCTGATAAATGGGAATAATTTTCAATTGGTCATATTCATACAACCAAATTATCGAAAACATTGACGAGTGGCTCATCTGCAATAGCTTCGTTTATGAGACAACAACAACAATGCCATCAGCTATACTTCTGAAACTTGTCATCGTGTCAGAAATAGCAATGAATAAACAGCTGAATGAAAAATATCTGGAAAGTAGTACCCTAGATAAACATCATAAAATTTTCATTTAGACCAACTATGCATGACGTTATGCTTGTAAAGCAGCAATGTAATGTGTGATGGTGACACACACCAATGTCGAAGCAACAGAGTTTTTACCTCAAAAGAATGCGTCCAAAATGTTTAATGCAGGAATGAGCTGGATGAATATGCAGCCGTCCAGTCACAGGATCGGCAATTCCTTGCCCTGCAAACGGCTGAGCAGCAGAGCGACTACCAAGCACGGAAGACACACTACTTGCTCAGCACCCACCAGGTATAGAACACACGCCACCTGCTCAGCCCCACCAGGTACAGAACACACACCACCTGCTCATCACTCAAGCAGAGAAAGCACTTCAGCTGGTTAGCACTTACTTAATGAAAATACACTCCAGTACCTGCTTAGCACTTGAGTAAGGAAGAAAAACCATCTGCTTAGCATCTATCATGCAAGGCAAGCAGATCACCTGCTTAGCACTCGTGGAGGGGGAGTCAATGCAATACATAAATGAAACCCATAAAGTAATGAAAAAACCCCCCACCTATTTCCAGCCTACCTTTCATCAGGTAAGTAAAATCACAATGCTTGACATCCATCAGGTGACATCAGACACCTCCTTCCACGTACCCTTCAAATAAGCAAATTCCATGTGATTGGCACCATTTTACTCCCATCTTGGAAAACCTAAGGAATTAACCTTTTTTTCGTTATTTATAGCCTGAGCATATTAAAACGTACACGTTGAAAACATGAATAGTAACAATTCTTCATATATACAGTTTGAGTACAGTACATATTTAAATGGTAGAACTGACGTGACGTACAGCTATATTGCCAATCAACTGCTGTAGATTGCATAATTTCTTGGCATTTGATGATTAATCAAATGAAATTGATTATTATGCTTAAGATATGTGCATCAAATTGTGCATGTAAAAATATAGAATTTACTGTATACACACACACTTTGCAAACTATGTGCTAATATGCCTTTAGTCTAATGCAACAAATTATACAAAAATGACATGTGACACAGGACAAATGAGACAATAGAATATTACAATGTTGAATCAAAGATTGGTGCCAGAAAGATTTGCACTACTTGAGCATATTGGCACAAGACAGAGGAAAGTGGAAACAAATGACGAAATGTGAAGTGGACACCTATAGGCTATCTGCTCATGGATCGTGATGATGATGATGATGAATCAAACCATTACCTAGAATAGTGACACATTATCAAATAGCTGGGGAAGTTAATCATTATATGCTTTAAAATGTTCTCAAGGATCATTAAGATATTGACAATTAGAGATCCAGTTTTTCGTTAAAAAAAATATGTGCCGCATACCATTCTGCAAAACACTAATAGACACATTTTAGGTCAAAGGCTCATAGCCTTCGTGAAGCTAAGCTCTGAAGGGTTAAATGTCTTCAGTAATTTGTAAAATAAAATATTGTTCTATGTGTTATTTCATGTGGACATCCAAGATGGTAATTACATTGTTGCTGGGTTTAGTTTGCTTTATGAAGTGGAAGCCTGCCAAAATATCTCGTGTGTATTACAGTAATGCAGCAACTCTTCACAAAATGAACAGCCAGCGCATTTAATTAACTGGCATATCTCTCTAGTTCAGAGTACATTTACATTATTATTGATAAATTCAATTTTTATTAGATTGTGTTTCTTCCGGCTGTAATGAGCCCGCAGTATCTACCATCACACCTTACTTTCAATTAGCCTGCTGTATCAGATAAAAACATAATTACGGTATTTTATGACAAATAAGTTCTTCCCAGTGTTATTGCACATAAATCACTTTCATAATTAAAGTTGCAAAAGTGAGTGCCTTTTACTCATTCAGAATTTGTTGTTTTGTATTAAATTTTGACTGATTTTTATTGTGGGAAATTATATTAGATTACCTTTTTGAGTAGATATTTCCCATACTCATATAACTTTTGATTATTGCATGTTTTTCTTTTACTATGCAAACATATGCCTAATGTACACTTGCCATTTTTAAAATAATCCAGCGGATAACAACTATTAATAATGATAATAATGTGTTTTAAAGTTAAAACGACATGGAATAGTGTCTGTAATGTTTGCAGAAGCAAAATATTGCTAAAGGGGATGAACATTGAGTGGAGCTAGATGGCTTGGGACAGCCCAGCTCAAGCGAGTTCGTCATAGGAACTTGAAGAAGGCGCAGTGGCATTGTGGAGAGCCTGGGGTTAGCGACTGACCGCTGGCAGATGGGCTGGCTGGCCTGTACCCGCATATCAGAAGAAACAACTGGAGCACAGCTGTTTGCTGGGGGGCAGGCCCAGCGCGCGTGGTGGCCCGGCCTCCGCTCTGCTCCACTCCACACACATGTGCTCCCCAAGCATCACTCATTTCCGCTGCTTCGATCAAAATTTTTACAGCTCATTTACCTTTATCCAGGAGCGTGTCGCCTGCTGCTGCCACCGCTGCAGAGGTGGAGTCGGAGGAGCATACCGGAAGCCATTAGTGGCCGAGGCCCTCTGGAGATTACATCTCAATATTTCGGGGTCGCCACTCGCTTTTACAAATCACTGGGAGCAGCGGCATCCTGAGTGGGCCGCTTTGCTTGAACTTCCTGTACATGACAGTTGCGAGAAAAATAAAAGGAGGCTGACAGGCAGATAGCTAAAAGCTGTCACACTGTGGTGCAGCATTCCCACAACTAAAATGCCTCTTGTCTTTTTCCACGTCTATTAATTTTGCATAAAATATGTCCCACGGTGCTCTATTTGTCTGTTTTCATTTTGGATTTGCTGACCTCTTACTGCTGTCATGCTACTTGTGCTCTTTTTGTATTCGTTGGCTGTAATTGGAGAAAATGATAATAATGTGTTGGATCAGTTTTTATGGTTTTTCACACATATGTTAGAAATTAAATGGTCTCTGAATATTATAAAGTGAAGGAAAGGGTTGTTCGTAATTTCATTGTACAAATTAATTTCAAGCCACCCATAATAAAGTAAATATGAAACACGGTTTAGTTAAATAGCTGACAATGCATATGGAACTCAAAACTATTATTTAATAATAAATTGAATGTGTCCTGGCCATTGTTGCTTGTGTGTTATTGTTAACACATTGCAGCCCAACAGCATTTACATCTGATTTTCAACCTTTGCCATTGTACGTGGATTATGAATTATTGGGAAAACACGTTTCCCTACAGATTGCTGGGATCTATAACTCGCCGTTCCTACCGTGCCCCATGGAGATGGAGTACCGGCTGTTGCAGGCGAGGCCACTGAGCCACAGGAAGCCCTTGGCTATGATGGAAGAGAGCGCTGGGATGGAAAAATCGACACTAACCCCGCATCCGCCACGGACGCTGCCGCCCATCTGTGCTCCAAAACCACAGGTGTGGCCTGAAATCCCTGCCAGCAAGAATTTTCGATCGCCGTTACGCCATGCCAGCTACCATTCCAGATGTTTTCATTTGTCATGCAGAATATACCCTCAGTTATGTGCCACAATTGTGTTGCTTTTCCTGTTCCAGACTTTTTCAGCTCCTGATGCAAAGAGTCAAATTAATTGAAATATGCCTTTAAAAATAAAAGCTGTATAATGGGTAATATAACGTTTTTTTATTGAGTACAAACGTGCTTTTTAAACATAAGTGTGACCAAACTGCTCAGTATTTTAAGTGTGGTGTAAAACACTTGTGTACAGGGCCCGTTTAAAGATCCTGCGGAGGTTTGGAGGCAGCGGCAAAAGCCGCTAGAGCCATCGGTGCGTGTGGCGACACCCTTTGTGTGCCTGGAAGAGGCCCCCAAAGTCCTCCGCAGGGAAGAGTGGAAGAAGCATGCCACCGACACCCAGTATGCTCAACCCTCACACTTCCTCTCTGCTCCCTAGCACGCTTGACTTCACTTTGCTGTATCCAAGCTACATTGTTCTCTAGTTGGTTTCGACTGTATTAAAGGCCTTCCCAGCCACGCAGAATGAACTTACAGGCTCCTAGTCCCAACATCCCACGCGTGCACACATTCTGAACGCAGTGACAACAGACAGCAGGGAGGCAGTGATTCCCACACAAATGATGGATCGTGCAAGTGGCCCCATGAGGCTGGGGTGGTTTCACAAGTGTTGTTGATGACGAGGATGATGATGATGCATGCTGTATATTTCATCCTGTACACGTTTTTTAGTGTTCCACTAACAACGTTCATAATGCCATTTTGATTATTGTTATTGTTACCCCGTTTACAAAAATGAGTACATTTTGTCATAAAAAATTGAAAAACTAAATTTAGTCATTATTGTGGAAAAAAACAGCACTGCCGCGATAAATTTTTTTATGATGAAAATCATTTTGAAGCAATATGAAATGACCAGTGAATGGCTGTGGCCGATAAACACAGCTCTCGAGCTATCTGATGTGCTTCAGGCAGTGGTTACCACTAAGCACTCGTGACCTCCATTGGCAAGGACGTTTGCAGGCTCTGCAGCTGAATTGGTAGCCCGTGCACCAACAAAACAAGCCATCAGTAGCTGTGTTCCAAAATAAAATGGTGCTGTATAAAATAACATGACTTTTGAATCCGGTAATAACATTCTTCATTATTCTCCCAGATTCCTGCCCGCCGTCAGTGCTCACAAGAACAGAAAGTACGAGCCACTTCTCCACACGTCCTCGGACTACGGCCACATCCCCTATGGTAGCAAGCATTTCCGGGATGAGCAGCCTAACAAGATCATCTCCAATAAAGTAAGCCTTGTGTCACGTGCTGATACACACTAAATATGCATAGCTTGTATTTGTGGTCAAACAACTGTCCTCAATCCGACTCGCATCACATTTTGTATCGTTTTCTTTTCAAGTGTCAATGTAAAAATTGCAATTTCTATAGCAGTTGTCAGATGTCATTTTAAAACACATTTTCTTATGGATCACACGTTTTTTCATACAGTATAAAATGCTGACCAGCAAACCATTTAACAAGAATCCTGCATGTGGAAGGTTATCTGTAGGTTACAAAAGAATTAGGAATTAAGAGCAAGTCATAGTTTGGAAGGTTCAGTAACTATATCTGCCCTTTCCTGAGGACCACAAAGCGTGATTGAGGACGCTGTCAGCAGTGTCCAGACAGTGATTAAAAAGCTACCTTTTAATAATGATTAAGATTATTGCAATTAATACTTGGGTGCACATATAATTTCTAGTGGTTTTACAATGAGGACAGTGCCCTGGGTGCTTTGTGCCTACCAGTCAGCATTTACTGGGTGGGTAGGCCAGACCCTCATACCTCTCTTATAACTCACTGGCAATGTCAGAGTGATTGGAGGATAGGTTGATGCTATTATTTTAACCATTTAGTCTTTTAAATTAAAGTATCCGTTCCAAAGCCATATTATTCAACATCAGTAGTTTCACAGTTGTATCTGTTAACAAAACGAAATATATATGCTAAACGTCTTAGCTCAGAAAACCATTGTATTGGTTTAGAAAACAAGCAGAGATTCTAACTTTTACATCGACTAATATACTCCTGTATTGCGATTTTACTTGTGTGCAAATTATCTAGTGTTTCATTTGTAAACCATTATTGGATACTGAATACAAACTTATTGTGAGCAACCCATAAATAGTGCCAATTAGTTCACAAATTAGTATTGTAGAACATGCAAATAACATCATTACGAAATCTGGTGCTCCGTCTGATTCTCACGCAGCCTCTGATCCCAACATCTGCATGTGTCTAGGAGTATAATTACCAGTCACTGATGATATATACTGTTTAGCCAGGAAATCTTCCTCTGGGGCAGGAATCAAGCAGAACTATTAGAGATAGAAGGCCGGGAGGGCCCGGGTTGCCGTGGAGACCAGGCCCATGGTCGCCTATGGAGCTAAAATTACCTGCCGGTGCTGTGGGCAGCAGAACAGAGTTCACGGTCACTGTTTCACTCGCGGCATCCATCATTAACGCTCGGGCTGTGGCCTCCGCAGCAGTGTGTGGCCCCACTGATTAACACCTCTAAGCACGGCGCACCTCCAGCAACGCACTCAGCCTCTGCGGCACAACGCACAGCTCCGCAGATGTACGCCCGCGCCGAAGATATAACATTTTATTTCCAACGAATAATTAATGATTCGTAGTTTTGTTGCAATTACTTGATCAACCGCTGCAATAATTTGAAGTAACTTATGCAAATTTCTGGAATAAAATCTCCGAAAGACTATGAAGTTGTCGATCATTTTCACATGATGCCCTTTGCAGAATGTGCACAATATCGTTTTTAAATGCTTTGACATAATAATCGAAAATGGAGGGGAAAAAACATTACAAATAAATATTAACTTTGAACAGTTTCAAATTTAAAGACTCTTTACAAATTTTTATTCAATAAATTTCAGTGAAATTGGCCTTTGTTATATGTAGCATATATAACTTGGTGATTGAATGTCTGGATACTTATAATGCATTTATGCTATCATTTATGTTTCCCAAAAATGGCTATTCGAACACCAAGTGATTGTTCTTGGACGCTTAATTTTATCGTTGGAATATTAAAACACGAGTAAAGGAATATGTTATAGACACAGTACATTATTTGATTTTAAGAACACGTGTTGTGAAAATGTAATTCATTCATTGCAATGCATGTGTACCTGTGTTGAGCTACTACTGAATCAGTGTTAAAATCCTCACCACTGACTTGGCAACTTGCAGCAGTTGGGCAGTGGCGAATATTTCAACCAATCCTGGGTCTCCCCAAGGTCGACTCAGCCGTAAATGAGAACCGAGTGCTCTGTGTGTAAACACCAGCACTGGGGAGACACACACAGCAGGTTGTGTGGTATTCCCCCCCAACCTCTTGTGCCGTGCCGGCCTTCATAGTTGCTCACTAATAGCATTTGCCCCAACAGTCTGTTAAAGACTTGTCTTTGAGTACTTTATATGTGTGCTTACATGGGATATGTAAAAGGTCACATAAATGCCAGCCCTGCAGAGAGTGCTTATGCTACAATAGTTGATTTACTGTCCAGTAGATGCTTGTGTGTGTTTACACACGTTTACTTTACTTATATGCATATGAAGTTGTACATATACGGTGCAATATATGACCAATTTTGTAATACAATCTTTGTTAACACTGCTGTAAATGTGAAAACAAATCAGCACATACATTGTTTCCATCACGATATGGTATAAACTATTACGGTAGTACAATATATTATAAAAATGAATGCCTAAGCAAAATATTCACATCTGTAATAAAAATAGACAAAAAATTAAATGCGTTGTTAAACAACTAAAATATTTATTTTAAGCAGATAATAGCATCACCAGATAGATGTGTATTACGTGTTTTCATACAATGGTTATTCATTGTAGTACGTTTGTGAGCAAAGTTTGGTTGTTACATGTTTGTTAAAACAATGCTCTTGTTTTAATTTATAGCCATGGGAGACAGAAATATTCAAGTTATCTTCGAAATGTATATATGTTGAACTTCCGTCGCACCGTACCTAGCCAACCGTGATAATCGGAGGTGTGGGAAATGGGAGGTGGATGGAAGTTTGTGGATGCTGCAAGCCTCTAGCCTCGCAGGCTGCTTTTAGGCAGAGACCCATAGCGCAGGGAATTAAATGGTGGTTGGTTCTTGCAGCTGAGCCCAGATTCGTGGAGGGATGCAAGAGAGACGGGATGAGAGAGAGGGGGGGGGGGGTGCGAGGAGGCACAGAAGGCAAGCAGCAGGCGTCAGAATGCCAAAGGGAGGGTTAAACTTAAAGGATGGGCCTCAGGTGTTCTTATTTGGCATCAGGAAAAAAAGATAATATTAGAAACCCCAGAACTAGTTTAAAGAATAGCAGCTGCCAACAATTCCAGTATTTGCACTGTGGGTTGTAAATAATGTATTTGTGCGACTCGGTGTGCAAGCTGAAGTGATTTACGAAAGATGACGCTGTTGCCTTGCTTGTCCAGACTCCAAAGTATTTTCTCTTTTTCGACAGGCGTACCATACCGTCTTTCCACCAATCCCCATCTTCGAGAAGCTGGGGAAGACCTACTCCCAGGGACAGGAGGTTTGAGGCATGCGAATGGAGCTGTTCCTTGGAGAACTAGAAATGTAGATGAAATGGAAAAAATACAACAACAAGAAAAAACAACGTAAACAAGTGTGTGGTGATTTGGGAATTGCTATTTTTAAATGAAAGAAGATGTTATATTTCGAACAGCCTATTTGTATTAAAACAGGAAGAACCTTTCAGGTAAATGAGATTACATTCACAGGCACTTCAGTGATTAAGATGCATCATAGGATAAGTGATGATGAGTAAAAAAAACAACTTGCTTTGTCTTTGCTGGTGTATCTTTGACATTACCACTATGGGAGGAAGGTTGCATTGCTGGTGATAATGATAAAGCTGTAATAAGCTTTACTTGAAAATAATCTGTAAACTGTTCTTGTTTAATACTAATGGGACCTTAAAATGTTGCTACCTCAACGTTTACACATTTTACTAATCTAATACATTGAAAATTGGATATATGGTCACTCACCCTTGCTTGTTTGTATGTAGCACACTGGCAATACTGATTTATGAACATTAACAGCCATGTCCAATGCTTAAATTTAACTCAAACAAATGTGGCCGCCTACCTTTGTCTTTTAGTTTGAATGTAATTACTTAAAATGTAATTTTAATTTACAGTAAACATTCCAATTTTAGTTTTTCTTTTTGCGTTGTGATCCGAATTTCTCACAAACAAAAACGACATTTATTGAGCCAAACTGTGCTTGTGCAAATTAAAACATGGGTGGTTCAAGCATGTAGGCCAGTACAAAAACATACGATGACACTTCCTAATTGAAACCAGGTCACATGCATACGAAGCACTTTCCGCTGCTGAAGAGAAATCAATGGTGGGCTTGTTTCAGGAAGCTTCCCAGCTGTCTGACAAACAATCCTGCTGGTTTTTTCTCTAACTCGTGTGCCTGTAGAGAACTTGTAATTCCCGATGATGCAACAGACATCACAGTCAGATATAGACAGTTTACAAATACAGTAAAACCTTGGATTGCGAGCATAATTCGTTCCGGAAACGTGTTTATAATCCAAAGCACTCGTATGCCAAAGCACTCGAAAATCAGTTGTGATCGCGTGACGCTTGGCAGACAAAGCGTATACACGTACTACTCGTATTGCAAGACCTCGCTCGTTTATCAAATTAGTATTTATTTAAAAAAATTGCTCGTCTTGCAAAACAATCGCAGACCAAGTTACTCGCAATCCAAGGTTTCACTTTTTCTGTCTGGTCACACGCTCACAGCGGATTGCGTCCGTGGTCTGGTGCCTGGTCAGCTCTGCCCGCTTGTGCCCAGGGTGTGTGTGTGTGTTGTCGGACCTGTTTGCTGACTGCTTGCTGCCACCCAGTGGCGACAATCCGTCTGCTGGGTATCGACGCGACACGCGCCGCTAAAACATCTCTACGCAGTACCATTTGCCAGTGTCTAGAGTTGGGAAAATAAAAATAGGAAATAAAGTTTTGTGCATTTACACAAGATGAATACAACGGACTCTTTGCTGTTGTTGCACTGCTCTTGGCGTCGAGAAGGAGCCAAGGGAAACGTAGGCCGAGTTACAACTGCAGACAGGTTTAAATGAAAGTGCCAAATGATCCTTCTGGCGGTACCCCGGGGTACCAAATAATACAAACTGGCCGAGGCAATTAAATATTTTATTTCTGGGACACTAGTTTTTCCAGGGGTGTACTTCACTCCGCGACTTTGGGGGTACCCATCAATCCGAAATCGGTGCCACTCCGCGATGTTGAAACGCAGCGAGGACGATTGCGCTGAAACCCTGAACGCTCGTGGTACGCACCGTGGTGGTGCATCGTGTACAGCTCGTCGAGATGAGTCGATTGCCGCATCGCCGACCATCAACAGACTAGCAGTGACTGCATCACAGACATGATGTGAGAGCCGGGGGCACCGCCTTAAGGTTCATATGTACCTGCACACATGGTCACGAAATCTCATACTAAGTATTGCAGTGCTCGAGAAATGTGTTCCTATCTTTTATATAAAATGTATGTAAAATATATTGATCTAAAGCATGGTTTTAACGGATTGCCACCCTCAATCATTCTCTATAGTACATTCATTTTAAGAGAGAGTCCTGTTTCCAGAAAACATATTTTAGAACATTGACAGTGCTTTAACTCAGATGAAAATGTGTATAGCTGTGTGCGTTTGTGGCTGCCATTTGATATGAAAACAGTTTGCATGAAGTTGACAAGCATCCTTTCACGAGGCATTGCTGTTAAATGTAAGATGCGATTGAAGCAGTGGACTGGAAGAGGTTAATGGAAGGGACTCACCAATTGGCAAGAAGCTGACTTGGCAGCTGTTCCTCCAACATCACAGCCCTCTGCGGCCACCCACGCACCAAACGAGCCTACCACAGACGCGCACTTTTCTTGGACATACGGTGCTTTGATAGGAATATGTTGAATCTCGGTAAAAATTGTTTGTCTACCAAAACACAAAAGCACAATTGGTGGCAGAATGCCAGTGCGCATAAAAGCACAACAGCCGGCTGGCTGCCATCTATCTCTGCGTACAGACAATTTCACAAAGGCTACTGTGGGCACATTCCGCTTTGTAAGAAGTATTACTTTGTCAATGAGCCATACTGATGACGGTATGAAAACACTTATCATCAATTCTAAATAGCATGCGCAGAATTCAAAGTTTGCTCTTCGTAAATGTGCTTTTTATGCCAAAAGGAAAACATTAAAATGGTGTTAGTTACTGTTGTTTCTTGGGGAACACTTATTGATACTCTGGTGCTCGTAATATCGGCTCAAATTTGAGTGCGGCATTTTGCCACAAGGTCACACAAATGTTGTGCCGTGTGTACATTATAAAAGCTGTTCGGTGGCTCTTGGTTCAAGGGGCTGAAAAGAGTAAAAGGTCAGAAACCGGCAGCGACTGTGAGACGCCAACACGGGTGCCTGTTACGTCCACTAATTGTGTCTACCTGTGCGCTCCGCGCGCGGCCGTAACGCTATCTCTGGGGCTGCATTTCTCATTTGCATGTTAAAGCATCCCTGATCAATAGCCCCAGCCAAGCTGTTGGGTTTACTTTACCTCGTTTCAGGAAGGCAGGAACAGCACTAATAGGCCCGAAACCGCACGCCGAGGGCCACTAACTGCGCGTCAGCTTGCCGCACAGACAAGTCATTAGTCTAATGCCTGTCAAGGCGGCAAGTGCCCATGCGCTCCTCATCCTTTCACCAGGCTCTAATAGGAAGTTCCACACACTCTGCCGGTCGTGGTTTAGAGGCATTCTTAGAAATGCGTTGGCAAGAGATAAATCCCTTTGCTAACAAATATTTAAATATGGTCAGTGTTTTGTACAAATTTAGCCCTATTAGTTTCATGGACTCGCCGTAATGCTGAGATGCTGATCATAAATAATACAGTTTTTCGCGAGTGGGAATTTATTTGGTGTGGTGCATGAATTATATATTACTCTTTTAACTCGGTTTATTCAAAAACATCAATGCACATGTGATATTTATCCGCTTTTTGTTCCTCCCAGTCACTCCATTTAATTACAACAAAGGGAAATGATGGGGTGGCTGCTGTACAGCAATGCGTTTAATTAATACTGTGGGCACACAAATCTCGTCGTGTGAATGTGACAGATATTGTTACGGCACAAGCACATCTTTGTTTTCATTTGATGCAGTAATTTGAAAATCAAACAATGTCGGCATTCCCGAAGTGTTGCCTATAAAATGAATAAGAGTATGGAATTAATGACCTTTCAGTGTTACACTTCATGCATTAGTAAAGTGTGCGTGCAGCTGGGATGCAATCCAGCAAACTGGCGGGCGGCAGCACGACCCAAGCTCACACTCTCGTTCTGTGCATTACCCCACCGTGAGCCACTTATGTCTGTAGCGTCCATCTTCTCAAGTGTGTTTTAGGTTTTTTTTTTGTTTTCCCATGCTGACATTGGGTGTGTCGACAGTGGTGCTCACTCGTCAGTGTTTGGCGACAGCTTGGCAGGCTAATCCATGGTGCCATGCTGTGTGGAGTGGCCCCAGCTGAAGGCGTATGAGCAGACACTTCATGGCAAACCATCCCCTTCCCTACTGTCTGCGTCGCCACCCCCACCTCCCCATGTGCCACTTACCGGCAGAGGCTGCAAGGAGGAGCTGCCTGCAAGGAACAAATAATGCCTGGAAATTGATTTATTTGTTTTAGCAAACAAGGTATTGTTCACATATTCTGTAATATCTACAAATACACCAGGCATGAGATACATATCTCGTTTATATCATCAGACATACATTTTTAATTTTCCATTTAATAAGACTGCTCAAGAATGCACTTTCTGTGTATGATTGCATACATGACTGCTGTAAGCTTCAACACAAGTCTAACATTAGGTGAGTGCAATGACCATTCACTTCACACCGCTGACAGGCAAATCACTGAAGGGAATGACAAAAATGTGCTATCTCCCAGGGTGGATACTGGAGTTCCCATGACAACATTTTGCGAGCGCAGGCCATTGTGTGCCTTGTGTGTAGGCACACGAGTGTCGGCGAATGTTTGACTCACTGAAATCACTGGGTGGCTGTGGCGATCCGAATTGTAGACTCGCTCGAAGATGCTCGGCAGTCCAAATGCCTTAACACACAACAATAGGGGGTACTGGTGTTACCTAAAGCAGTCCACGATACAAATGGAATAGAGTACACTGGTCAAGAATCTAAACGTTATCAATATCCTGCATGGTATTAATAAGGCATTGTCAGGTGGCGTCATATATTAGCAATTTGAAATGAATGGAAATGATCTGGTGCTTCAATGGAGTGTGTGAAGTGTTTTAAAATTAGCCACGGTCACTTTGTGCCACCTCAGTATTCTCTGTACAACAATTTGTGAGACACAACCTGGGAGAGCCGGAGCACTTAAGCATGAATATGCAATGAGGTGACCCGGGGCAGTGCACGGATGCTGTGAGGCTACTGTCCGTGCAGCTGCTGCGCTGAATATTCATGCCGGTGTCGTGCACCCACGGCCCTGCCCCAACTGCCCCCCCCCCCCCTGGCCCTTCGCGTTCAGGGCCGCCTCGCTGGGCCACCCGTGACCCCGCGTGCGTCTTGACAAGCTGCCGCGCCGAACAGCACTCAGCGCCGTGGGTCCGCGCAGCCCCCCGTGGCCTGCACTGCTCGCCGCTAAATCGATCGACTGGAATATTAACGCACTAAGCAGTTTTTTTTTCTATTAACGTGGCATACACGGAGTGTCCTCTGTGCCCGTGATGTGCCAGGTATCTGCTGGGTATTGCAGAAGGACGTGCTCTTCAAGTGGCCGAGGTAGAGATCCGCGAAGAATTACATTTTGTCGCGTCCTGGACGTTCTTCTAGCGGATCACGTCGCTTTCCTCTTCGGCTAAAACTCATCAGATTTCCACTGATTTTTCACCTGGTCACAGGGCCTGCGAATTTTATCCAAAATTAGTGTATGTTGACGAACACACTACTTGGTTAAGAAGTCTGCCAATGCAAAAAAAATATTCACAACGCAAAATAATTCATATTCTTGGTTCTTTCGGTAAAGTCAAATTTTCTTGCTGTGGGTTTCACACCTGGCGATGATTGCTTGTGTTGCAATCGAAACGTCGTGAGAATTTTATTGTTTTATTTTTATTATTTTATTATTTCCCTTTTACGTGACTTTACCAAAAGAACCAGGAATATGAATCCCTGCAGTCACGAAAGCTTTACATCGAAATTTAACGCAAAAGAAATGAACATTTTGATTCACGGTATCGTTTAAAATATCAATAGCAATTAAAAAACGCACTGTTTGCAAAACAATTTCAATTGCATGTCACGCACATGCTACGAAAAAAAACATTCCCAGACGTTGATTGAACCAATTATTGTATTTTCAAGAGAAGTGGGTTATTGTGTGTGATGACATTGACTTGCAAATGGAGAGAGCTCTTGCCTACTTTTGTTAGTGCTGATGAAAACACGCTTGACACAGGGCAGCTGTTAGTGCATGTTATGCCCTGTGGGGGGCTGAGGTTGGGGGGTAAAGGAGTGCGGGGCTGAGCGGGGATCTTCCCTGTCCCCACCTGGCAGCTTGCTGGGCTCTCTCTCTCTCGTCTGCGAGTGTGCGGCATGTGTCCTTGCTGGGCAGGTCGCTGGGCAGTGAGAGTGAAGGAGTGGGGGGGGGTTAGTGGAGGTGTTCTGGGAGGCGCGCGGGTGGGAGGAGTGGAGGCTGCGCGTGGAGTGGCCCACAGTGGGGTCCGCTGGAGCTGCCCGACAACTTGAACAGATGGACGGAGACCAACTTCGCTTCGGCATTCTTTACTCTTTGTCACCGTGGCAGGTGCAATCCAGGGGCTTTTATTGATGCCGTGTGTTGTGCTATGTCGACTCTGAGTGTTTGCAAGCACGAGCCGTATGGATGTGTCCGTAATCCTTGTAATGGGGGCTAAAACATCAGAAATTGTCGACTGTCATTCCTTGATGCTGACATAATTGCAGCGGCCGTGCTATCTCAAGCAGATTCATGGCGTGCTCCTTTAAAAATATATATCAAACTTTTACAAATACAATGTAGTACGATTTTCACTTTTGTAACAATGTACTATGTTTGGCATTTTAGTTTGAAGAAGATAGCAGGGTGGGCGCCCTGCTCATCTGCCTGTCTGCTAACCGCCAACAGCCTGCGATACAAATCAGTACCATGTCATAAAATGTCATTTGCGTGATGTGACCTAACCCTGCACATCCACAACAACTGTCGCCTCGCTTTCTCTGTCGCTGGCAGAAAATGCATGGCGTGTCAAAATGCTTTCAAGACTCGGAGGTAATTTCAAAACATGTTAACATTTTGTCGTTTTGTTCCTGCCAGTGAATAATCAAGGATGTAAAGTGTAAGCATCGCTTTGTAATTTACACAGCAAAATACAATATCTTCGAGGGTGGATAAATAATTGCCTTATGTAATCAGCACCGGGAACGTGATTGCAACCTTTTAGTTCATCTTGGGTACGAAGTATGTACATTGATATCAGGGATTGACATTTTTCTGATAAGAATGCAAGTTTTATAGCGCATCGTTGTTGATGATCAAGTACAAGAGCATTTTAAGCCATCCTGTGTTGTTCTGTGCCCAAAAAAGCCGATATTTTATCTCCATATCAGCAGTTTCCCTTTGGCATGTGCAAGTTTTTCGAAATATTACATCTTTGCCTCTAAACATTGCATTTTGAATATGTGAACTGCTACGGCTGACATCACGTTAGTGGGCCGCCGTTTGTAAACATTTCAAAGTTAACAAAATGACAACTGCACTTCAAGTTTCAGCACCTTTCTAATGCCGAGCAATATCAAGCAATCTGCAAATTAAGATGCGGAGACACGTAAGGCAGAGTGTTCTGATAAGGGCATTTGCTTGGCTCCAGATAACCAGGAATCTGATTCTGCTGGCGCAAAAGATATGACTTAACGTCCCTCATTTCCTTGAAGGACAATTAAACTGACAGCTTTACTGCCGCTGTATTTTATTGTGTTAAAAGACAATCTGCTTCCATCAAATTAGCGCGCACGTTGCCTGGTGCTGTAATCGGACTGCGCCTCATTGCCTGTTATGGCATTTCCCTCAAAGCGGAACTCGCTGAGTTAAGGACCATGAAGTGCCACTGTTATGACACAGCGTGGTGCCGCTGGCCGGCCTCGCCGCTCGCGGCCCTCCGGCATCTACCGCGGCGCTACAAACACACCCGTGGGCAAGACACGTGCGCGTCGCACGCAGACACCGCACCTTGGGCACATTTCACTTCGCGCGGCTGCACAGTTGATTCGCAGCGATTGCATTTGCATCAGTTGCGCACCGCGAGAACGTTTTCCACACAAACTTTCTACGTGACAAAATGTTGGGAAAATTTTTTTTTTTTGGGCTGCATGTTCGCATCGATTTTGGCATGCCACGTGTTTCTGTTATTAACATGAGTCATTAGAACGCTGCCGCGAACATGCGTTTAGCTTCGAGCTACGGTCACCCCCGAGGTTGTGTGAGCTTGTCGTGGAGGTGCAGAGCCGTGAGGCCTGAAAGAATCCTCTCTCGGTGGGCCCGTGTAAATCACAAGGTGGATGTATCAGCCAGACCCAGTCAAGGCGGCTGACTCTGAGTTTATAGAAAAAATTAATCATCGCCAATAAAGGATATTCAGCCATGTTACCGCATGTCCATGGATGAAAAATTAACCAATTAAACGTGGCTATCACTTTTCTTTTTTCTCTCTCTCTCACCTTTTTTAGTGTTCACTACCTTCGGTTCAAGTGCTATAAAACAGCAGTTTAAGGATAAGAAATGTGAGACGGTCATAAAGGGATTCAATTTGGTCTATGGACATTTGTTCCTGGCTATTTTTGTCAGACCTTTATTCTCTCTTTCGGCGAGAATTACT